GAGTTTCATCAGGTTAATACACTGCCTGCAGCTTGAGTCACTTCTGGGGAGTTTCATCAGGTTAATACACTGCCTGCAGCTTGAGTCACTTGAGGGAGTTTCATCAGGTTAATACACTGCCTGCCAGCTTGAGCTTCACTTCTGGGGAGTTTCATCAGGTTAATACACTGCCTGTAGCTTGAGCCACTTCTGGGGAGTTTCATCAGGTTTTCACTCAGTTTCATCAGGTTGATAGACTGCCACTTCTGGGGAGTTTCATCAGTTAATACACTGCCTGCAGCCACTTCTGGGGAGTTTTTACATCAGGTTGAGTCACTTCTGGGGAGTTTCATCAGGTTAATACACTGCCTGCAGCTTGAGCCACTTCTGGGGAGTTTCATCAGGTTAATACACTGCCTGCAGCTTGAGTCACTTGGGAGTTTCATCAGGTTAAGTTTGCTGCAGGGGAGTTTCATCAGTTAATACACTGCCTGTCATCAAACCTCACTGCCTGCAGCAAATATCATCTGTTAACACACTGCCTGCAGCTTGACTGAGTTTCAACAGATTAACAAATTTGCTGTCAACCTAGGGATCCAACAAATATACACTGAGATACATAGCTTTCACCCCAGTGAATCGGGACTGAACAGATAGCATCTGCTTGCAGGTTGAGACACTTGATCCACCTGGGGACACTGCTGTAGTTTAGTCCCTGTCTTTAGCTTTGTTACAGATAGACTGTTGCTGCTCAAACCTCATCTTTTCCAATATGAACACTGAGATACTTTGACTGGCATCAATGACTGAACAGATACAGATAACTGGTGCCTCGAACTGGCACAGCATTGACACATGCCAAAGAAACTGAAACACTTTATAACATCATTAACTGAGATAACTTGCTGTCAAACCTCATCCAACAAATATACACTGAGATACTTTTACCCCAGAGTGACTGAACAGATAGATAACTTGCTGTCAAACCTCATCCAACAAATATACACTGAGATACTTTTACCCCAGAATGACTGAACAGATAGATAACTTGCTGTCAAACCTCATCCAACAAATATACACTGAGATACTTTTACCCAAGAATGACTAAACAGATAGATAACTTGCTGTCAAACCTCATCCAACAAATATACACTGAGATACTTTTACCCCAGAATGACTGAACAGATAGATAACTTGCTGTCAAACCTCATCCAACAAATATACACTGAGATACTTTTACCCCAGAATGACTAAACAGATTGATAACTTGCTGTCAAACCTCATCCAACAAATATACACTGAGATACTTTTACCCCAGAATGAGTGAACAGATAGATAACTTGCTGTCAAACCTCATGCAACAAATATACACTGAGATACTTTTACCCCAGAATGACTGAAACAGATTGATAACTTGCTGTCAAACCTCATCCAACAAATATACACTGAGATACTTTTACCCCAGAATGAGTGAACAGATAGATAACTTGCTGTCAAACCTCATCCAACAAATATGTATAAAATACTTTACCCCACATGACTGAATAAACAAAAGGAACCACACACAAATCGCTCACGTAAACACACACACACACACACACACACACACACACACATACATACATATAAACACGCACACACAGCAGATCTAGAGGTTGCATGCACACACATGCACTCACACAATGGAAGCAGAGCTAGAGGTTTCTCACACACAGACACATACACACACAAAATGGAAGCAGATTTAGAGGTTGCCCACACAAGCGATAGATGGAATGAATATCTGAGGGGTAGATACCATCATTAGCTTAGCACACACCAGGGCTGGCACCAGATGCAACTTCAGAAACCCAATGCTGAAGGAGACAATAGAGAAGAAGAAGAAGAAGAAGGAATACTTGACTAAAAAAACACGTAATCATCCTGAAATAAATTGATCTTAAAACCCACCCAAAAAAAAATATATATATATAGAAATGTTTCTCAACACATGAATGAGATGACCTATCGTCCACCTTCCCCACCCAGCAAATATATAATGACTGATACTTGCTCCGCAGCCCTCCGAGTCCCTACTTTAACCGGATGACCCTGCCTGGAATCTTGGATTCTAGAGTCCCAGCAGCTGGCAAGAACCTCAGGTAAAGTCAGGTGTTTTCAGTCTCACTAGTGTAGGTAACCTCAGGTAAAGTCAGCTGTTTTCAGTCTCACTAGTGTAGGTAAAGTCAGCTGTTTTCAGTCTCACTAGTGTAGGTAACCTCAGGTAAAGTCAGCTGTTTTCACTGTTACTGGTGTAGGTAATCTCAGGTAAAGTCAGCTGTTTTCAGTTTCACTAGTGTAGGTAACCTCAGGTAAAGTTAGCTGTTTTCAGTCTCACTAGTGTAGGTAACCTCTGGTAAAGTCAGCTGTTTTCACTGTTACTGGTGTAGGTAATCTCAGGTAAAGTCAGCTGTTTTCAGTTTCACTAGTGTAGGTAACCTCAGGTAAAGTCAGCTGTTTTCACTGTTACTGGTGTAGGTAACCTCAGTTAAAGTCAGCTGTTTTCAGTCTCACTAGTGTAGGTAACCTCAGGTAAAGTCAGCTGTTTTCAGTCTCAATAGTTTAGGTAACCTCAGGTAAAGTCAGCTGTTTTCACTGTTACTGGTGTAGGTAATCTCAGGTAAAGTCAGCTGTTTTCAGTCTCAATAGTGTAGGTAACCTCAGGTAAAGTTAGCTGTTTTCAGTCTCACTAGTGTAGGTAACCTCAAGTAAAGTCAGCTGTTTTCAGCATCACTATAGATAACCTCAAGTAAAATCAGCTGTTTTCAGTCTTACTATTGGTAATTTCAGGTAAAATCAGTCGTTTTCAATTCAGTTAATGTAGTAACCTCTGGTAAAATCAACATCTTCTTCTTCTTCGTTCACCAGCTGTGAATTCCCGGCGGAGGTCCCAGTTAATCGTCCACTTGGACTTTTGTCTTTTACCTGGACCTGAGTTGTGCGTGTAGAGTAAAATCAGCTGTTTCCAGTCTAGTCAGTAAAGGCAGCCTCTTGTAAAAATCATCTGTTTTCAGTCTCACTGTAGATAACCTAGGGGGCTAAGTGGTCTCTGTAGATAACCTAGGGGGCTAAGTGGTCACTGTAGATAACCTAGGGGGCCCTGTAAATAACCTAGGGGGCTAAGTGGATAACCTCTCTGTAGATAACCCTAAGGGGGCTAAGTGTCACTGTAGATAACCTAGGGGCTAAGTGGTCACTGTAGATAACCTAGGGGCTAAGTGGTCTCTGTAGATAACCTAGGGGGCTAAGTGGTCTCTGTAGATAACCTAGGGGCTAAGTGGTCTCTGTAGATAACCTAGGGGGCTAAGTGGTCACTGTAGATAACCTAGGGGGCTAAGTGGTCACTGTAGATAACCTAGGGGCTAAGTGGTCTCTGTAGATAACCTAGGGGGCTAAGTGGTCACTGTAGATAACCTAGGGGCTAAGTGGTCTCTGTAGATAACCTAGGGGGCTAAGTGGTCTCTGTAGATAACCTAGGGGGCTAAGTGGTCTCTGTAGATAACCTAGGGGGCTAAGTGGTCTCTCTAGGGGCTAAGTGGTCTCTGTAGATAACCTAGGGGCTAAGTGGTCACTGTAGATAACCTAGGGGGCTAAGTGGTCACTGTAGATAACCTAGTGGTCTCGAGGTATGGCATTTGCCTTGAGTGCTGGAGTCCCCGCTGAAGGCTGGGACTTTCCCTAATCTAAGGTCAGTGAGATCAGAAGCCCATGTGCATTGCTGCGCATGTAGAAAACACAATGGCAGTTGGAAATTGAAAAAGAGTAGCCTAACTGTGCTGCCCAGGCCAAATTTCTGTTACAAAATCTACCCAAAGTATCTCAGGATCCTCGCGGGTGCAAACCGAGTTCATGCATTGCGTTGAGATTCTTCAGACTGAGACTGGAGTTAGAAGTAGAAAGAAGCACTAATGGGTTACACCTGTGTGCCATGATGTTGATCCGTTGAATAAACGAAACCAATCTATGGATAACCTAAGTAAAATCAGCTGTTTTCATCTCACTATAGGTTACCTCTGGTAAATAAAAGCTGTTTTCAGTCTGATTAGTATAGGTAATCTTAGGTAAAGTCAGCAGTTTTTAATCTAGTTAGTGTAGGTAATTTCAGGTAAAGTCAGCTGTTTTCAGTCTCCCTATAGGTAACCTCAGGTAAAATCAGCTGTTTTTAGTCTGACTGTCGGTAACATTAGGTAAAATCAACTCTCCTCAGCCTCATTAGTATAGGTTACCTTTGGTAAAACAGCTGTTTTTAAGCTAGTTAGTGTAAGTAACCTCTGTGTTGGTACACCTGCTCTCTATTTGCCGTCATGTCTTTGTTGCTTTTATATAGATCCTTATCTGTTCTGCTCCATATGTACCCAGAGTCCTGTCTTTGTTGCTTCTGTATGAACAGTCTTGCCTGTGCTGCTTCTATACGAACAGTCTTGCCTGTGCTACTTCTGTACAAACAGTCTTGTCTGTTTGCTTCTGTACAAACAGTCGTATCTGTGCTCCTTCTGTACAAATAGTCTTGTCTGTTTGCTTCTGTACAAACAGTCATGTCTGTGCTACTTCTGTACAAACAGTTGTGTCCGTGCTGCTTCTGTACAAACAGTCATGTCTGTGCTGCTTCTGTACAGACAGTCATGTCTGTGCTGCTTCTGTACAAACAGTTGTGTCTGTGCTCCTTCTGTACAGACAGTCATGTCTGTGCTGCTTCTGTACAGACAGTCATGTCTGTGCTGCTTCTGTACAAACAGTTGTGTCTGTGCTCCTTCTGTACAAACAGTTTTGTCTGTGCTGCTTCTGTACAAACAGTTTTGTCTGTGCTGCTTCTGTACAAACAGTCTTGTCTGTGCTGCTTCTGTAAAAACAGTCTTGTCTGTGCTACTTCTGTACAAACAGTCTTGTCTGTGCTGCTTCTGTACAAACAGTCTTGCCTGTGCTGCTCTGTGTGTACCTGGTCTCTGTGACTAATGTCCCATCCCACATTCTTCCTGTTGCAGATACAAGGGTAGGCAGAGAGTGATGCCCACCGTGCCCAACCAGCCCAGTGAGGCGGGCTATCATTTCATGTTTGAGCTGGCAAAGACAGTCCTACAGAAGGCAGGAGGCACCTCATCAACCTCGCTGTTTACCCAGCCCAGCAGCAACACCAGTCACAGCGGACCTCACAGGAACCTGCACCTGTGTGCCTTCCAGATCGGCCTGTACGCCCTGGGCCTCAGCAACTGTGTCTCCCCCAACTGGTTGTCCAGAACCTACTCGGGGGGGGGGGGGGGGGGGGGGGGGGGGGGGGGGGGGGGGGGGGGGGGGGGGGGGGGGGGGGGGGGTTGGGGGGGGGGGGGGGGGGGGGGGGGGGGGGGGGGGGGGGGGGGGGGGGGGGGGGGGGGGGGGGGGGGGGGGGGGGGGGGGGGGGGGGGGGGGGGGGGGGGGGGGGGGGGGGGGGGGGGGGGGGGGGGGGGGGGGGGGGGGGGGGGGGGGGGGGGGGGGGGGGGGGGGGGGGGGGGGGGGGGGGGGGGGGGGGGGGGGGGGGGGGGGGGGGGGGGGGGGGGGGGGGGGGGGGGGGGGGGGGGGGGGGGGGGGGGGGGGGGGGGGGGGGGGGGGGGGGGGGGGGGGGGGGGGGGGGGGGGGGGGGGGGGGGGGGGGGGGGGGGGGGGGGGGGGGGGGGGGGGGGGGGGGGGGGGGGGGGGGGGGGGGGGGGGGGGGGGGGGGGGGGGGGGGGGGGGGGGGGGGGGGGGGGGGGGGGGGGGGGGGGGGGGGGGGGGGGGGGGGGGGGGGGGGGGGGGGGGGGGGGGGGGGGGGGGGGGGGGGGGGGGGGGGGGGGGGGGGGGGGGGGGGGGGGGGGGGGGGGGGGGGGGGGGGGGGGGGGGGGGGGGGGGGGGGGGGGGGGGGGGGGGGGGGGGGGGGGGGGGGGGGGGGGGGGGGGGGGGGGGGGGGGGGGGGGGGGGGGGGGGGGGGGGGGGGGGGGGGGGGGGGGGGGGGGGGGGGGGGGGGGGGGGGGGGGGGGGGGGGGGGGGGGGGGGGGGGGGGGGGGGGGGGGGGGGGGGGGGGGGGGGGGGGGGGGGGGGGGGGGGGGGGGGGGGGGGGGGGGGGGGGGGGGGGGGGGGGGGGGGGGGGGGGGGGGGGGGGGGGGGGGGGGGGGGGGGGGGGGGGGGGGGGGGGGGGGGGGGGGGGGGGGGGGGGGGGGGGGGGGGGGGGGGGGGGGGGGGGGGGGGGGGGGGGGGGGGGGGGGGGGGGGGGGGGGGGGGGGGGGGGGGGGGGGGGGGGGGGGGGGGGGGGGGGGGGGGGGGGGGGGGGGGGGGGGGGGGGGGGGGGGGGGGGGGGGGGGGGGGGGGGGGGGGGGGGGGGGGGGGGGGGGGGGGGGGGGGGGGGGGGGGGGGGGGGGGGGGGGGGGGGGGGGGGGGGGGGGGGGGGGGGGGGGGGGGGGGGGGGGGGGGGGGGGGGGGGGGGGGGGGGGGGGGGGGGGGGGGGGGGGGGGGGGGGGGGGGGGGGGGGGGGGGGGGGGGGGGGGGGGGGGGGGGGGGGGGGGGGGGGGGGGGGGGGGGGGGGGGGGGGGGGGGGGGGGGGGGGGGGGGGGGGGGGGGGGGGGGGGGGGGGGGGGGGGGGGGGGGGGGGGGGGGGGGGGGGGGGGGGGGGGGGGGGGGGGGGGGGGGGGGGGGGGGGGGGGGGGGGGGGGGGGGGGGGGGGGGGGGGGGGGGGGGGGGGGGGGGGGGGGGGGGGGGGGGGGGGGGGGGGGGGGGGGGGGGGGGGGGGGGGGGGGGGGGGGGGGGGGGGGGGGGGGGGGGGGGGGGGGGGGGGGGGGGGGGGGGGGGGGGGGGGGGGGGGGGGGGGGGGGGGGGGGGGGGGGGGGGGGGGGGGGGGGGGGGGGGGGGGGGGGGGGGGGGGGGGGGGGGGGGGGGGGGGGGGGGGGGGGGGGGGGGGGGGGGGGGGGGGGGGGGGGGGGGGGGGGGGGGGGGGGGGGGGGGGGGGGGGGGGGGGGGGGGGGGGGGGGGGGGGGGGGGGGGGGGGGGGGGGGGGGGGGGGGGGGGGGGGGGGGGGGGGGGGGGGGGGGGGGGGGGGGGGGGGGGGGGGGGGGGGGGGGGGGGGGGGGGGGGGGGGGGGGGGGGGGGGGGGGGGGGGGGGGGGGGGGGGGGGGGGGGGGGGGGGGGGGGGGGGGGGGGGGGGGGGGGGGGGGGGGGGGGGGGGGGGGGGGGGGGGGGGGGGGGGGGGGGGGGGGGGGGGGGGGGGGGGGGGGGGGGGGGGGGGGGGGGGGGGGGGGGGGGGGGGGGGGGGGGGGGGGGGGGGGGGGGGGGGGGGGGGGGGGGGGGGGGGGGGGGGGGGGGGGGGGGGGGGGGGGGGGGGGGGGGGGGGGGGGGGGGGGGGGGGGGGGGGGGGGGGGGGGGGGGGGGGGGGGGGGGGGGGGGGGGGGGGGGGGGGGGGGGGGGGGGGGGGGGGGGGGGGGGGGGGGGGGGGGGGGGGGGGGGGGGGGGGGGGGGGGGGGGGGGGGGGGGGGGGGGGGGGGGGGGGGGGGGGGGGGGGGGGGGGGGGGGGGGGGGGGGGGGGGGGGGGGGGGGGGGGGGGGGGGGGGGGGGGGGGGGGGGGGGGGGGGGGGGGGGGGGGGGGGGGGGGGGGGGGGGGGGGGGGGGGGGGGGGGGGGGGGGGGGGGGGGGGGGGGGGGGGGGGGGGGGGGGGGGGGGGGGGGGGGGGGGGGGGGGGGGGGGGGGGGGGGGGGGGGGGGGGGGGGGGGGGGGGGGGGGGGGGGGGGGGGGGGGGGGGGGGGGGGGGGGGGGGGGGGGGGGGGGGGGGGGGGGGGGGGGGGGGGGGGGGGGGGGGGGGGGGGGGGGGGGGGGGGGGGGGGGGGGGGGGGGGGGGGGGGGGGGGGGGGGGGGGGGGGGGGGGGGGGGGGGGGGGGGGGGGGGGGGGGGGGGGGGGGGGGGGGGGGGGGGGGGGGGGGGGGGGGGGGGGGGGGGGGGGGGGGGGGGGGGGGGGGGGGGGGGGGGGGGGGGGGGGGGGGGGGGGGGGGGGGGGGGGGGGGGGGGGGGGGGGGGGGGGGGGGGGGGGGGGGGGGGGGGGGGGGGGGGGGGGGGGGGGGGGGGGGGGGGGGGGGGGGGGGGGGGGGGGGGGGGGGGGGGGGGGGGGGGGGGGGGGGGGGGGGGGGGGGGGGGGGGGGGGGGGGGGGGGGGGGGGGGGGGGGGGGGGGGGGGGGGGGGGGGGGGGGGGGGGGGGGGGGGGGGGGGGGGGGGGGGGGGGGGGGGGGGGGGGGGGGGGGGGGGGGGGGGGGGGGGGGGGGGGGGGGGGGGGGGGGGGGGGGGGGGGGGGGGGGGGGGGGGGGGGGGGGGGGGGGGGGGGGGGGGGGGGGGGGGGGGGGGGGGGGGGGGGGGGGGGGGGGGGGGGGGGGGGGGGGGGGGGGGGGGGGGGGGGGGGGGGGGGGGGGGGGGGGGGGGGGGGGGGGGGGGGGGGGGGGGGGGGGGGGGGGGGGGGGGGGGGGGGGGGGGGGGGGGGGGGGGGGGGGGGGGGGGGGGGGGGGGGGGGGGGGGGGGGGGGGGGGGGGGGGGGGGGGGGGGGGGGGGGGGGGGGGGGGGGGGGGGGGGGGGGGGGGGGGGGGGGGGGGGGGGGGGGGGGGGGGGGGGGGGGGGGGGGGGGGGGGGGGGGGGGGGGGGGGGGGGGGGGGGGGGGGGGGGGGGGGGGGGGGGGGGGGGGGGGGGGGGGGGGGGGGGGGGGGGGGGGGGGGGGGGGGGGGGGGGGGGGGGGGGGGGGGGGGGGGGGGGGGGGGGGGGGGGGGGGGGGGGGGGGGGGGGGGGGGGGGGGGGGGGGGGGGGGGGGGGGGGGGGGGGGGGGGGGGGGGGGGGGGGGGGGGGGGGGGGGGGGGGGGGGGGGGGGGGGGGGGGGGGGGGGGGGGGGGGGGGGGGGGGTGGGGGGGGGGGGGGGGGGGGGGGGGGGGGGGGGGGGGGGGGGGGGGGGGGGGGGGGGGGGGGGGGGGGGGGGGGGGGGGGGGGGGGGGGGGGGGGGGGGGGGGGGGGGGGGGGGGGGGGGGGGGGGGGGGGGGGGGGGGGGGGGGGGGGGGGGGGGGGGGGGGGGGGGGGGGGGGGGGGGGGGGGGGGGGGGGGGGGGGGGGGGGGGGGGGGGGGGGGGGGGGGGGGGGGGGGGGGGGGGGGGGGGGGGGGGGGGGGGGGGGGGGGGGGGGGGGGGGGGGGGGGGGGGGGGGGGGGGGGGGGGGGGGGGGGGGGGGGGGGGGGGGGGGGGGGGGGGGGGGGGGGGGGGGGGGGGGGGGGGGGGGGGGGGGGGGGGGGGGGGGGGGGGGGGGGGGGGGGGGGGGGGGGGGGGGGGGGGGGGGGGGGGGGGGGGGGGGGGGGGGGGGGGGGGGGGGGGGGGGGGGGGGGGGGGGGGGGGGGGGGGGGGGGGGGGGGGGGGGGGGGGGGGGGGGGGGGGGGGGGGGGGGGGGGGGGGGGGGGGGGGGGGGGGGGGGGGGGGGGGGGGGGGGGGGGGGGGGGGGGGGGGGGGGGGGGGGGGGGGGGGGGGGGGGGGGGGGGGGGGGGGGGGGGGGGGGGGGGGGGGGGGGGGGGGGGGGGGGGGGGGGGGGGGGGGGGGGGGGGGGGGGGGGGGGGGGGGGGGGGGGGGGGGGAGGGGGGGGGGGGGGGGGGGGGGGGGGGGGGGGGGGGGGGGGGGGGGGGGGGGGGGGGGGGGGGGGGGGGGGGGGGGGGGGGGGGGGGGGGGGGGGGGGGGGGGGGGGGGGGGGGGGGGGGGGGGGGGGGGGGGGGGGGGGGGGGGGGGGGGGGGGGGGGGGGGGGGGGGGGGGGGGGGGGGGGGGGGGGGGGGGGGGGGGGGGGGGGGGGGGGGGGGGGGGGGGGGGGTGTGGGGGGAGGGGGAGGGGGTTGGGGGTGAAGTGAAAGAGGATTGGGGGTGTGTGAGGGGAGGAGAGGGGGGGGGGTGAGAGAGAGAAATAACCTTGTCATATCTTTTTGGGATGCAATTTTGCAGTATTTGAAACCCTACTTTGGCTCTTGCCAGGGGCCGCAATATAGCCCGGCCATAAATATGGTCTAATGGCTGAAAGCGGTTACTGGGACCTCCATGGGTGATCCTCATCCACATGGTGACACTTTGTGTCATCAGGTGTTTATCGCTTGTGTGATGCCCTAGTGGTGTAAAAGAAGATAGATAGATAGATAGATAGACACCCCTGTGACAGCAGTGTTTATGTTTACTGTCATTCCTGACCTGGTATTTATTGTCACAGAAACTCACTGGTTGTCCCATGTTTTGTGTGTCTGTAGTATTATCACTTGACACCCCTGTGACAGCCATGTGTTTAGAACTGTCATTCCTGACCTGGTATTTATTGTCACAGAAACTCACCAGTTGTCCCATGTTTTGTGTGTATGTAGTATTATCACTTGACACCCCTGTGACAGCAGTGTTTATGTTAACTGTCATTCCTGACCTGGTATTTATTGTCACAGAAACTCACCAGTTGTCCCATGTTTTGTGTGTATGTAGTATTATCACTTGACACCCCTGTGACAGCAGTGTTTATGTTTACTGTCATTTCTGACCTGGTATTTATTGTCACAGAAACTCACTAGTTGTCCCATGTTTTGTGTGTCTGTAGGCCAAGCCATAGAAATCGGCAGTGCTGCCATCAGGATGATCATCGACACATGGGAGGGACATCTGACACCTCCAGAAGCTGCCTCCCTGGCTGACCGGGCCTCGAGAGGTCGTGACCCCACTATGGTGCGTGTTGCAGCGCAGAGCTGGCCCTGTCCTGCCTGCCACATGCTCATGCACTGAACCCGTCGGAGGTGCAGAGAGCTCTGTACCAGTGCAAGGAGCAGAGCCGGGACATGCTGGAGAAGGCCTGCCTGGCTGTAGAGACTGCTGCAGATGGCGGTGGTGTTTTCCCAGAGGTCAGTCCCACCACCACACTTCTCTTCTTTTGCTGTGTATTGCTGTAGACAAAGATTGTACATAAAGATAAATAACACTGATTGATGCCGCAGCCATGAACCCAAGCTAATCAACAGTCAGGCAAAGTTGCCAGCAGGATAAAGCTAGACATAATACTGGAAATATCCCTAGGTTAAAGCAGCAACCAACCAGAAATTAGAATCAAAATATCTCCCCCCCCCCCCCCCCCCCCCACCTAAAAAAATAAGACTGGAGATATCTCAAGGTCAAACAGCATTAAGCCACAGATAAAAAGTCAGCAGGATACAAAAACAAAATGCGAGAAACAGTGAGCTAAAGATTATTTAACAAGCGTTGGGATTTTTTTCATAAATGATAGTGAAATAGTCATCTGTAGATTATGAATCCATGGCTCTTGGAAAGTGAACAGGCAGATGGATTAGCTGATGCTGCACTCCTGGAGGGTGAACAGCTAGATGGGGTCCCTTTGGGAGCAGGGGAACAATGCAGAAGTACAACTAGATCAATATGATATGACAAAAATTGTGCAGCCGGCGATGACCGGGAGATATGGCCGACGTTAGGCATCCAGGGCAGGGCAACAAAGACATGTAGTCAGGCTGCCACTGGTACCCTAAGAACTGAAAATCTTCACTGGCTGCTGAAGATGTGGAAAGAGCTCTTATGGAAATGTTCTGAGAGCTGTAATGTCTGTTTATAACTTAAGTCAGCTCCATTAGCCACTGTGGTGTCGTTCCATCGGATAATCCAACTGTTGAGAAAGAAACATAGAAGAGGAACGGTACAATAAAAGGAGTTTTGATAGCAGTGCCATATCTCAATGTGGCATCCTGCCACGTGACAGTTGATGTAGCCTTTTGCTAAAGACAGCAGATCAAGTATTAGAAACTACTGTCAGCGACAGTTTTTAGGGAGGGGGGGGGGGGGGATGTGAGGAAGTGTTCCAGCTTTTTGTCTCTTATGACTCTGAAGATTGTGTGTACATTTGCATCTTTTAGCTCATAAGTGCAGTTTTTAGGAAACAGCCAGCATGAAACCAGCACAGTCAACATAAAACAAGCACAGCCAACATGAAACCAGCACAGTCAACATAAAACAAGCACAGCCAACATAAAACGAGCACAGTTAACATAAAACGAGCACAGCCAACATAAAACGAGCACAGCCATCATAAAACAAGCACAGCAATCATAAAACGAGTACAGCAAACATGAAACGAGCACAGTCAACATAAAACAAGCACAGCCATCATAAAACGAGCACAGCCAACATAAAACAAGGACAGCCATCATAAAACAAACACAGCCAATATAAAACGAGCACAATCAATATAAAACAAGCACAGCCATGATAAAACAAGCACAGTCAACATAAAACGAGCACAGCCAGCATGAAACGAGCACAGTCAACATAAAACGAGCACAGTCAACATAAAACGAGCACAATCAACATAAAACAAGCACAGCCATCATAAAACAAGCACAGTCAACATAAAACAAGCACAGTCAACATAAAACGAGCACAATCAATATAAAACAAGCACAGCCATCATAAAATGAGCACAGTCAACATAAAACGAGCACAGTCAACATAAAATGAGCACAGCCATCATAAAACGAGCACAGCCAACATGAAACGAGCACAGTCAACATAAAACGAGACAGCCAGCATAAAACGAACACAGTCAACATAAAACGAGCACAATCAAAATAAAACGAGCACAGTCAACATAAAACGAGCACAGTCAATATAAAACAAGCACAGCAAACATAAAACGAGCACAGCCAACATAACATAACATAAGACGAGCACAGCCAATATAAAACAAGCACAGCCAACATAAGACAAGCACAGCCAAGATAAAATGAGCACAGTCAACAGATAAAACAAGCACGGTCAACATAAAACTAGTCAGTATAAAACAGTGCTGGCAACAATAAAAACAGATGTGAATAAACAAAACAAAGTGAAATGGATTTACAGGAAAAACCACAAGTTGAAAGTTGCATTAAGAATCAACATTACAGCACTCTGGACACTCCTATAAGCGCTCCATCCCTATCTTCAGCAGCAAGCAAAAAATCATAAGTAAAAATAAATAGTACTCTAAAGATTTAGAAGCCAGACAGAAATATATAAAATATAGACACCCATTTTCGTTGACATCCTCCCCAGAACACATAATTTAAGTTACTGGAGGAAGAGAACGAACGAACGAACGAACTTTATTTTCAAAGGGTTACAAATTAGGCACGCAGGCCTGTCTTACATTCGGCCCTTCCAAACTTCCATCTTTCACACAGCAGTTGTATTTCATCAATGAAGCATGTTATATTCATGTAATAATATGCATATTATATATATGAAGTCAAAAACAAAAGAATGGCTGGTAAAATATGTACGCACACTCACCCGCGAACACACACACCCACATACACAAACATATAGGCACTAAGTACACACATACATCCACATACATATGAACATGAACACATACATACATACATACATACATACATACATACATACATACATACATACATACATACATACATACATACATACATACATACGTACATACATACATACGTACATACATACATACATACATACATACATACTAGTTGTCTACAGACAGACAGACAGACAGACACAGACAGACAGACAGACACACACGCACGCACGCACACACACACACACATACACACATACAAACTCACATAATACATACATACACACACACACACACACACATACATACATACATACATACATACATACACACACACACACACACACACACACACACACACACGCACGCACGCACACACACACACACACACACACACACACACTGTCGCGCGCCCACGTGGGTAAATACACTGATATAGTGAGGGTGTGGGTTTGATCCTTAACAATGCCCACCCACGTGAGAAACTGGACTATTATCTAAGCTATGTTGATCCTAGACAGTCCTGGATAGCCAAGAAAACAGCGAGTGGCTCGTTCCATGAAATGAAAGTTGCTGTACTTGTATCCACAGGAGTAAGAGAAGGGATAGATAGAGATCAAGATGAACCCACTGAGATAATATCAGGATACTCAGTTAACCCCTCCGACTGCTCTCCTCTCCTGGCATTACTTAAAAGCCCCCATCAAGTGATTTAAATATTTGTCAATATTGACGATCTGACCGGCACTCCAGTTTAGGTAACGTCAGGGGGAATTAAACACAATTAGCCGGAGTTATCTACTCCTAATGGTCTGGCTAGGAGATAAATATCTGACACCAACAAATGGTGTGCAAATCTCCAGTCAGTCTGCTTGGTCAGTCTTATCTCTGTACCTTTACACTTAACATCTGGGAAAAAGTTTCAGTGTTTGATATTATCAACAGTCCTGGAAAATTAAATGTTTGTTCATGTCGCCTACTTAGATTAGGGATGTATCCAAATCCCTATTTTTCTGCACACTTTCAAAATACAAAGAAATAAAAGTAGGTTGAGGAAAGACATTCTGAAGTCACCGAGCGTATTGTCACAGAGCCTCCTCCTTAAGTTCGGTCACCCTGACCGCACATCTGCACGCTCTGTGGCTTCCAAGAATTTCAAGTCCTCCTTTGCTTAACTGCCCATAAGTTTTCTGTTTCCAGTATTCTTTATGGCAGTGGGAATTCCTGCACTCATCTGCAGACATCCCATGTCCTTTCCTCCAGGATAATTCAATACTGTCATTGATCCTGGTATTGAGCGGGTATTCCAAGCAGTCGCTCGGTAATGTCCCTTTGTCCGGAGGTTCTTCCTTCCATCGGATAATAAAAGATCCATGCTTTGTCAGTTGGACTCCTCGACGCCGTTGACTGACAGTCGCTGTCCATTTCCTCATTTCGACACGCCCTGTTTGCATAGGGAGGGCCTGAAGTGCTCTCCGAAAAGGATGAGTTTTAGTCAGGTAGGATTCTCTTTTCCTACATCTACAGATCCTGGAAAAATCTGTCACAAATCTCCTCTTAAAACGAGGGATATAGTCACTCCTCATGACAGCATGCCGTGAGTGCAACTGACCACTGACGATTTCTTGAAGGAGTGTCCACTTGTTTCCTCCTCGGTGCGTTCTGTCTTTTCCTTGACAAATTGTCCAGGTGGAATTCTCTTTCATAGAGTTCCCTCCCGAATCAGGGCACAAAATCATGTCAGGGTGTACAGTCAAATCATTAGGAAACTCAGGGTTTTCTGTAGACTTTAAGGTGGGATTTCTTCGCAATGAAGTTTCCACCATCAGCTGAGATACTCCTGTCACATCCTTCGAAGCAAAGAGTAGTACAAGACCAGAATGTTGGGATTCCCTACTACTCACAGCTTGTTCCGCTTCAGGGTCCTTCATCAGAAGTATCCCTGTCGCCCCAGCTGTACAAGATAGAGACAAGTTGTCTCCCTGCTCACAAGAAGTATTTTCTTCTTCAATAATGGCAAACACTTCTGTCTGTCCATTATCAGAGCGCACAGGACTAGCAGAATTGTCCTGTTTATGTCGAGTCTCTAAGATCGTCAAGACGTCCAGAGAACTCTCCTCCTCATCTGCTATTCTCACCTTGGTCTGGCTTTCATATGCACAGTCCAGTGAAAGCAAATCAGGAGGTGTGTTGCCGCCGTCGCAGTCAACTCCTTTGGGTGCAAAGTCAGAACTAACACATTTCATTAGGCATGCGGCCGCATCCAAGGAAATAGGGGACACAGGTACAGTGTTATTCCCTACATCAGTCTGCTTTAATTCCTCTTCTTGTTTGAAGGCGCCAAAGGGGATATGGGAGTTGGGTAAGTCTTTGCCCTCGTCCTCATTAATGGCTGGTGTGCCAGTCGAACCGCTATGTATACGGTTACAACCGTCATCACGCTTGTGACTACTGTCAGGTTCGCTCTCATTTATCTCGTCTGAGGTAATGGGAGTAAGGGGTTCCAGCAATGTAGATCTGGTCCCTTTAGAAGATTTCTGCTTCTTGTTCCATCTTTTCCTTTTAGGCTTAAGAATGGAAGTTAAGGGGTCCAGCAATGTAGATCTGGTTATCCCTAAAGAAGAGTTCTCCTTGTTGCCTCTTTTCTCTGTAGGAATAAGAGGTGTGAGATACTGTCCTCCGGTTTTTATGTTTTCTTCCTTAGCTGTTGAGGTTGGCCAAGGAGTGCACACCACAGTGTCTAGATAGTGAGCCCCCACCATACCTGCTTGAGTTTCAGCCTGAGGTATTGGTTTTTCCTCGCATATACTCGCAGTTTCCTCAACGCTAATGTTTTCTGCTTGCTGTTTTATCCTATCTTTTTCTGCCCTCTCAAGTAGCAGTTTTCGATTAATTTCTTCACTCTTACGCCGCATCCTTTCAGCAAATCCTTCCTGAATACACTCTATCTCTCTTTCTAATTCTTCTCTTATAAGCTGTATGTCTCTTTCATACTCTACTTTCCTTAGCTGTTCCTCTCTTTCATACTCTTCTTTCCTAAGCTGTTCCTGCCTATTATATTCTTCTCTCTCCAATTGGCGCTTTTTCTCTGCAGCATTACGGGCAACCATATAATCAAAAGTATCCATCTGGCATTTAATGTATGTTTCTAACTGTGCTCCTACTCTACCCTCAGCTATCCCGAATTTCCTTACATCTTTTTGGTACTCGGCACGTAAGTCCATTCTATCTATCAGGTCTATCCAGAGATAAATATGATACTTCCTCGAGTCAGGATAAGAAGGATATGTCAGAGCAGAGTACAGTGAACTGGGCACCAGAGTAGACTATGACAGCCGCACAAAGATGTATATGATGCAAAGCAGCCTACCAGATTAACAGCCTATAGAATACTAGAGCAGCAAAAAGATAAGCCTATAAATGATCAAAGCGATGTTACACTCAGTCACTAATTATTAATCTCAATGATATGATGTCAGCATGTAATATGTTCTACAATCTATATCAAATGAAATATGCAAGCAAAAAAAATCATCAATTCATCAACTCTAACTAAGCACTATAGATTAAACATTCATCAATGTTCATGAAATGATCAATGATAGACAGTTAACTCATATGATTTCATCAATTAAATACTTTTACAGTTATTATAATTTTAATCTTCCCAGTTACCAATTACTAAGTATGATTTTAGTCTAAGAACTGGATGAAGAGTTAAAATGAAATCTATGAAATTAAACTTTTTATTCGTTAGTCTAGGGTCTGCCGGGTTTGATCGCTGGCGGGACGCCACTTGTGTCAGGTTTTAATTCTAGAGAGCGACACAATTGTTACGTGATGTTATAAATCCCGAGACGAGATACCCAATTGTCGCTTGGTGTTATAAATCCCCAGACAAGATCCCCAATTGTCGCGCGCCCACGTGGGTAAATACACTGATATAGTGAGGGTGTGGGTTTGATCCTTAACAATGCCCACCCACGTGAGAAACTGGACTATTATCTAAGCTATGTTGATCCTAGACAGTCCTGGATAGCCAAGAAAACAGCGAGTGGCTCGTTCCATGAAATGAAAGTTGCTGTACTTGTATCCACAGGAGTAGGAGAAGGGATAGATAGAGATCAAGATGAACCCACTGAGATAATATCAGGATACTCAGTTAACCCCTCCGACTGTTCTCCTCTCCTGGCATTACTTAAAAGCCCCCATCAAGTGATTTAAATATTTGTTAGCTGAAGTAAACTAATATGCACAAAGACACTTGAACCTAAGTACACAATTTACTCAACTATTTTGTAACAACATCAAACATGATTTATTTGAATAAATCGAAATTAAAATGAACTTGATTAGGCTAGTAGAGTTGAAATGATGTGAATGATGAAATCATAAAGGTATTGGAAAGTAACAACCTTTGGACAGTTCTCGGCTTGAGACCCTGTCCATTCTTTTCCAGTTTTTCGTCCTCACTGCTTTCATGCAGGTCGTTACACTCAGACGGTCGGCAAATAAGGGATGCCTACTAGTCCCTGCCCAATGTGGGAACTGTGATAAAGAAACAAGCGCATATCTGTAGTATCTGCTATAGATGTACACTAAGCATGTATATTATAAAAACATCAAACATGTTTATTTAAGTAAAACATTTCATCTCTCCCTCATGTTCACATTCACTCCTGTCCAATTTGGAAGGGCTTATGTCTCACATTCCAACTGTTACATCTCCTGCCTTCCTCTACACGAGTCCTGTAATGATAGTCAAGTCTTCTACGTCAGGTGCCATCTCTCGTACAGACTCAAAATGACAATCAGTCAGACAGAACCAGTTCTGGAATCCATGCTTGGAACAATGGACGCGCCCAGAAAGCTAACAATATTTCTGAGGCGAATCGAATAAGAAATCTCAGGGATTTACTCTCCGGGATCAATCTCCGCATTAGCCTCCCGAGAGTTAAACACATTTCAGTGTGTTAGCTGTATGTAATACAGATTCACATTAACCACACGTGAAAAGATTGCCAAAGTTATCTTCACGCTGGTGGTTTAAAAAACATGATAGTTCATTAAATTTCAATGGCAACAACAACATTTAGGTTTTACAACATTGAAACACATGTGCACGAAAAAAACATTCATGACACTATCAAATAGGAAATAACGCAATGTGACAGTGCCCTACGAGAATGAAGAAATGTCCGCCTAGGAGTACTACAAAATGATGAAGACACACACTTGAGTAAAAGGACAGTTAGATTTCTATCACAAAATATAGATTTGAACCTAATTTCGATCTTACCTGGAAAATGAAACCACAATGCCAAAAGTTCTGTCTCAAGCTTAGGTTAAGCCCAACAGATGGCATGTGCATGACAGAGTCTCATTTACCAGACCTAGAGTTCACCACTTTATAACTTTTATTAAGCTCCTCCTACATTACGCCTAAAACCATTCTCATTCAAGGATATCACAGCTCCTCCCTGTGGGTAAGTTTATTCGCTGTCAGTCAGGGCTGTACAACACTTGTTTAAATTCCCACGCTAGGATCTCCTGGTCAATTCATCTGACCAGAGCAAATAGGCCAAGTCACACCTCTAGTCTACTTCACCTGTCATCACAATAAAATCAGACTTTGTCAATTCTTCTGCCAACACTTTCAGCTCACTGTGTCAATATTGACGATCTGACCGGCACTCCAGTTTAGGTAACGTCAGGGGGAATTAAACACAATTAGCTGGAGTTATCTACTCCTAATGGTCTGGCTAGGAGATAAATATCTGACACCAACAAATGGTGTGCAAATCTCCAGTCAGTAAGTCTGCTTGGTCAGTCTTATCTCTGTACCTTAACACTTAACATCTGGGAAAAAGTTTCAGTGTTTGATATTATCAACAGTCCTGGAAAATTAAATGTTTGTTCATGTCGCCTACTTAGATTAGGGATGTATCCAAATCCCTATTTTTCTGCATACTTTCAAAATACAAAGAAATAAAAGTAGGTTGAGGAAAGACATTCTGAAGTCACCGAGCGTATTGTCACACATACAAACATACATGCATACATACATACATGCATACATACATACATACATACATACCGTATGTATGTATGTAAAAGATATGGAAGCCAGACACAAGGTTATACATATTACAGGGGCACATGAGTGATTGTACGATACAGTGTTGTTATGTGTTACAGGGGCACATGAGTGATTGTACGATACAGTGTTGTTGTTATGTGTTATAGGTGCACATGATTGATTGTATGATACAGTGTTGTTGTTATGTGTTACAGGTGCACATGATTGATTGTACGATACAGTGTTGTTGTTATGTGTTACAGGTGCACATGAGTGATTGTTCGATACAGTGTTGTTATTATGTGTTACAGGTGCACATGTGTGATTGTACGATACAGTGTTGTTGTTATGTGTTACAGGTGCACATGAGTGATTGTACGATACAGTGTTGTTGTTATGTGTTACAGGGGCACATGAGTGATTGTACGATACAGTGTTGTTGTTATGTGTTACAGGTGCACATGAGTGATTGTACGATACAGTGTTGTTGTTATGTGTTACAGGTGCTGTTTGATGTGGCCAGGAACTGGTACGAGTTGTCCGAGCTGGCTAGTCAGAACTCCTCTGACACAACTGACGTCAATGAGAACACCAGGCCTAGACTGGAGTCAAGCAGTCCAGCCTCGTACACCATGGCCGACTCCACTGCTTCCAGGCTGGCTGCTCATCAGTACCAGTGAGTTGATCTTGTTGTCCACGGGATCTCTAACAGTCGCTGCTTCATCTGTTCTTGGCATCCACTGAATAAACATCTCAGTCTGCTGTTTCTACACTAGTCTTGTGTCTGGACTGTTTAGTTCAATGCTTTATCTGTTCTTGGCATCCAATAAACAAACACTTCAGTCTGCTGTTTCTACACTAGTCTTGTGTCTGGACTGTTTAGTTCAGTGCTTTATCTGTTCTTGGCTTTCACTGAACAAACATCACAGTCTGCTGTTTCTTCACTAGTCTTCTGTCTGGAATGTTTAGTTAATACATCACAATCTACTGTCTATAATGTTAAGTTTATACATGGGTCTACTGTCTGGGATGTTTAATTAACATCACTATCTTCTGTCTAGAATGTTTAGTTATTTATACCACAGTCTACGGCCTAGAATATCTAGTTAATTACATCAGTCTTATATCTAGAATATCTAGTTAATTACATCAGTCTTATATCTAGAATATCTAGTTAATTACACCAGTCTTATATCTAGAATATCTAGTTAATTACATCAGTCTTATATCTAGAATATCTAGTTAATTACATCAGTCTTATATCTAAAATATCTAGTTAATTACATCAGTCTTATATCTAGAATATCTAGTTAATTACATCAGTCTTATATCTAGAATATCTAGTTAATTACATCAGTCTTATATCTAGAATATCTAGTTAATTACATCAGTCTTATATCTAGAATATCTAGTTAATTACATCAGTCTTATATCTAGAATATCTAGTTAATTACATCAGTCTTATATCTAGAATATCTAGTTAATTACATCAGTCTTATATCTAGAATTATCTAGTTAATTACATCAGTCTTATATCTAGAATATCTAGTTTATAATTACATCAGTCTTATATCTAGAATATCTAGTTAATTACATCAGTCTTATATCTAGAATATCTAGTTAATTACATCAGTCTTATATCTAGAATATCTAGTTAATTACATCAGTCTTATATCTAGAAAGTTTAGTTATTTACATCACAGTCTTCTCTTTAGAATGTCAGTTAATTACGTCACAGTCTGTTGTTAGAATGTTTATAATTACATCACAGTCTGCTGTCTAGAATGTTTAGTTAACTACATCACATTCTGCTGTCTAGAATGTTCAGTTAATTACATCACAGTCTGTTGTTAGAATGTTTATAATTACATCACAGTCTGCTGTCTAGAATGTTTAGTTAATACACCACAGTCTACTGTCTAAAACATTTAGTTAATACACCACAGTCTGCTATCTAGAACATTTAGTTAATACACAGTCTACTGACTAGAACATTTAGTTAATACACCACAGTCTGCTATCTAGAACATTTAGTTAATACACAGTTTGCTGTCTAGAACATTTAGTTAATACATCACAGTCTACTGTCTAGAACATTTAGTTAATGCATCACAGTCTACTATCTAGAACGTTTAGTTAATACACCACAGTCTACTATCTAGAACGTTTAGTTAATAAACCACAGTCTGCTGTCTAGAACATTTAGTTAATACACCACAGTCTGCTGTCTAGAACATTTAGTTAATACATCACAGTTCCACTGTCTAAGAACATTTAGTTAATAACTGTCCACAGTCTACTGTCTCTAGAACATTAGTTAATACACCACAGTCTGCTATCTAGAACATTTAGTTAATACACAGTCTACTGACTAGAACATTTAGTTAATACACCACAGTCTAAGAAACATTTAGTTAATACACAGTCTGCTGTCTAGAATTTAGTTAATCACCACAGTCCTGCTGTCTAGAACATTTAGTTAATACATCACAGTCTACTGTCTAGAACATTTAGTTAATGCATCACAGTCTACTATCTAGAACGTTTAGTTAATACACCACAGTCTACTATCTAGAACGTTTAGTTAATAAACCACAGTCTGCTGTCTAGAACATTTAGTTAATACACCACAGTCTGCTGTCTAGAACATTTAGTTAATACATCACAGTCTACTGTCTAAAACATTTAGTTAATACACCACAGTCTACTGTCTAGAACATTTAGTTAATTCACCACAGTCTGCTATCTAGAACATTTAGTTAATACACCACAGTCTACTGTCTAGAACATTTAGTTAATACACCACAGTTAATACACCACAGTCTGCTGTCTAGAACATTTAGTTAATACACCACAGTCTACTGTCTAGAACATTTAGTTAATACACCACAGTCTGCTGTCTAGAACATTTAGTTAATACACCACAGTCTACTGTCTAGAACATTTAGTTAATACACCACAGTCTGCTGTCTAGAACATTTAGTTAATACATCACAGTCTGCTGTCTAGAACATTTAGTTAATACATCACAGTCTACTGTCTAGAACATTTAGTCTAGAACATTTAGTTAATACACCACAGTCTACTGTCTAGAACATTTAGTTAATACACCACAGTCTGTTGTCTAGAACATTTAGTTAATACACCACAGTCTACTGTCTAGAACATTTAGTTAATACATCACAGTCTGCTGTCTAGAACATTTAGTTAATACACCACAGTCTGTTGTCTAGAACATTTAGTTAATACACAGTCTACTGTCTAGAACATTTAGTTTTCTACACAGTTCACTGTCTAGAACATTTTAGTTAATACACACCACAGTCTGTTGTCTAGAACATTTAGTAAAATACACCACAGTGTACTGTTGTCTAGAACATTTAGTTAATACATCACAGTCTGTTGTCTAGAACATTTAGTTAAAATACAGTCTACTACAGTCTGTTGTCTAGAACTACTTTAGTTAGTTAATACACCACAGTCTGTTGTCTAGAACATTTAGTTAATACACCACAGTCTGCTGTCTAGAACATTTAGTTAAATACATTACAGTCTACTGTCTAGAAAACATTTAGTTCTATACACAAACATTTAGTTAATACATGTCCTTACTGTCTAGAACATTTAGTTAATACACAGTCTACTGTCTAGAACATTTAGTTAATACACCACAGTCTGTTGTCTAGAACATTTAGTTAATACACCACAGTCTACTGTCTAGAACATTTAGTTAATACATTACAGTCTGTTGTCTAGAACATTTAGTTAATACATTACAGTCTGTTGTCTAGAACATTTAGTAAAATACATTACAGTCTGTTGTCTAGAACATTTAGTTAATACACCACAGTCTGTTGTCTAGAACATTTAGTAAAATACATTACAGTCTGTTGTCTAGAACATTTAGTTAATACACCACAGTCTGTTGTCTAGAACATTTAGTTAATACACCACAGTCTGTTGTCTAGAATGTTTAGTTAATAAATCACAGTCTACTGTCTTGAACATTTAGTTAAAACATCACAGTCTGTTGTCTAGAACATTTAGTTAATACATTACAGTCTGTTGTCTGGAACGTTTAGTTAATAAATCACAGTCTACTGTCTAGAACATTTAGTTAAAACATTACAGTCTGTTGTCTAGAATGTTTAGCTAATACATCACAGTCTGCTGTCCAGAATGTTTACGAATACACCGCAATCTATTGTCTAGAATGTTTAGGTAATACACCACAGTTGGTTTATTGTTGATGATTTAATTTTGATCTGTTTATAATCGGTGATGGAATGTTGATCTGTTTCCTGTTATCTTTTTACAGCGAGAGGTCAAGCCCCATTACAAATGTCACGTCAGTTCATTACAGTGGGGTGGTTGGGGTTCGTTGCTAATGGCAACCAGTCATCTCCCCTGACTCAGCAACAGGTTGTTTCCCCACAGACTTGCTCCTCGCCACAGCTCATCCAGACCTCATCTCCTCACATGCCTATGGTTCTTCTACCCACCCCGCACACAGGGCCCCCACAGATGGCCACCCATTATATGCAGCCTTACAACTATGTGCAACAGGTAGCCACAGCCACACCGCCACCAGGACCCTTTGGTCACCATCATTTCACCCACAACCCCGCTGCCCACCATACTCTCCACACCCACGGCCTGCACCATCCAGCGTTTGTGACGTCCTACACTTACCCAGGTCAGGCCAGCTTCACCAACCTGCCACCAAATATATACCATACAGGGGGCGGGGCTCACCTGCGCTCCCTGCCCCCGACTGTACAGGTGTTTCCCTAACCAACCGCACGCTATCGTGCACACTATGCACCCTGTCGAAGTAGTCACTGCAAGTCCACCTACTGGCACTCAGGCACAAGTGCACAACTCGGCTGTGGCTATCCCACAGATGCAGCCCACCTCACACAACCAGATGCAGCTCAACTATCTCCTGGCCACCTTCCGCACAGGCATGCTGGCCATGGAGACCCTGTCCCGCAAGGTGCACGATGACCGGCCTCAGACCAAGTACGCCCGCAATCCTCCGTACGGAGAAGATGTCCGATGGTTGTTGAGTGTCACCATTAAACTAGGTTAGTCTGGGTCCACACTGGTCATGTGTGAGGACACTTGTTGGAATCAAACTGATTGTTGGTCAAATCTGAGTGCTCACTTGCTGCTGCTGCTAATGTTTTTGTTGTTGGGGGAAGGGGATGAAACAGAAGACAGATCTCTGTTATTGGAAGTACTCATGGAAAATTTGTGACAGTAAGACTGAAAAAAAAAATCAGATTGACTGTATTCCCCATTTACAGATTTTGAAATGCTTTCCCAAATGTATAATGCTATAGAGATCATAGAAAGTCAAAGACCAAATCTATCTGCAAGCAAAGGCGATCAAATATAAACCAATAAACGGGAAATGAGATCTGTGTGAACTCATTATTGAGATGGAAAAAACAAACATAACAGACATAAAGCATGCTGAGTTTGGACTCATTGTCTGATCTACAAGTTCTGTTGCAACATGTTTGTGACCAGTGGGGAAGATACTGAAGAACTCCATCAGACAGACTCTCCAAGATCTGAAGATAATATATTGTAGGACACTGATGACAGAGTGCTGGAGTTGACATATAGCCCTGGGATTGACCATATAAACCTGGGATCAAACAGCTCTGGGAATAATTCTGTAGCCTTGCGGTTGACCATGTAACGCTGGAGTTGATCATATAGATTAGAGATTGATTGTATAACACTGGGGTTGACCGTGTAGCTCTGGGATTGATGATAATGCACTGGGGTTGACCATTTAGCCTTGGGTTGACCTTATAGCCCTGGAGTTGACCATATAGTTCTGGGGTTGACCATATAATCTTGGAGTTGACCATACAGCACTGGGGCTGACCATAATGTGCCTGGAACTCATGTGGGTTCCAGGGCCCCATTTTGGGGGAAAACAAGAACAGACCCACTGCCTACCCAAAATGCATGTTGTTAGGAGTCTACTAATTGGAAGCTTCCTCCGAAGTTGGAGTGCGTCTACCCAAGCAGCAAGGAACAACCAACTGCACACAAATAGGCAAGTAAAACAGATGTACACACAAAACTCAGCCCTTGAGTTGACCATATAGCAGTGGAGTTGACCATATAGCTTTGGGGGTGACCATTTAGCACTAGAGGTTAACTATGTAACTCTGGGGTTGACCATGTAATTCTGGGGTTGACCATGTAGTTCTGGGGTTGACCATTTAGCACTAGAGGTTAACTATGTAACTCTGGGGTTGACCATGTAATTCTGGGGTTGACCATGTAGCTCTGGGGTTGACCATGTAGGTCTGGGGTTGACCATGTAACTCTGGGGTTGACCATGTAGGTCTGGGGTTGACCATGTAACTCTGGGGTTAACCACGTTGGTCTGGGGTTGACCATGTAACTCTGGAGTTGACCATGTAACTCTGGGGTTAACCATGTAACTCTGGGGTTGACCATGTAGCTCTGGGGTTGACCACATAGGTCTGGTGTTGACCACGTAACTCTGGGGTTGATCATGTTGGTCTGGGGTTGACCATGTAACTCTTTTGTTGACCATGTAACTCTGGAGTTGACCATGGAACTCTAGGATTGACCATGTTACTCTGGGGTTGACCATGTTACTCTGGGGTTGACCATGTAACTCTGGGGTTAACCATGTAACTCTGGGGTTGACCATGTAGGTCTGGAGTTAACCATGTAGCTTTAGGGTTGACCATATAGGTTTGGGGTTGACCATGAAGCTCTGCAGTTGACCATGAAGATCTCGGGTTGACCATCTAGGCCTGGGGTTGACCACCTAGGTCTGGAGTTGACCATCTAGGTCTGGGGTTGACCACCTAGGTCTGGGGTTGACCATGTAGCTCTAGGGTTGACCATGTAGGTCTGGGGTTGACCATTTAGGTCTGGGGTTGACCATTTAGGTCTGAGGATGACCATGTAGCTCTAAGGTTGACCGTGAAGCTCTGGGGTTGACCATGTAGCTGGGGTAACACATGTGGCACAGAAACGATGAGACTGTCTACATCAACCATCACCTGCCATTTGATGAAGCAAATCTGAGTTCACCAGCTGACTTTCCAATATATCAGGACAAGAGGGTCAATGACCTGTGACCATTGTTTGTACCCTGTTTTAGGAACAACATTCCTGCAGCAGTTCTGTGCTAGTGCTGTCAACGCTGTGGTCAGCCCGTTTGTGCTATATGACCTGGCCATGGAAGCTGCCCGGTTCCTGGCCCGCAACAACCCCACTCACGTGCCCACACAGTTGAGATCCAACATTCTCAACTCCTTGTTTCAGAAATGTCTGCAGATGTAAGTGTGTTTGTCACCTCACATATTTGCCGTCTCTCAGTTTCCTCTTCCTGTCTCTATATGCACATGCATCAAGTAGATCTGTTTATGGGTGTGTCACGCGTGTATAGTTGGCACACCTCTATTCATGACCCATTCACCCAGCTAGACCGTTCAGCCAAACAGAACAGCAAGGATGATGTTTGCGTGAGGTTGACGTTTGAGCCAGCAGGTCTGTGTCAGGTAGCATCATGATGCCTGGCTTGTTGTGAACACAGTCTCAGACATTGCACTCAGACATTGCACTCAGACATTACACTCAGACATTGCACTCAGACATTGCACTCTGACATTGCACTCGGACATTGCACTCAGACATTGCACTCACTCAGACATTACACTCAGACATTGCACTCGGACATTACACTCAGACATTGCACTTAGATTCCTTGTGGGTCTTGCGGAGCCTCATTGTGGGCACAACAAGAATAGACCCACTGCCTCGCCCACAAGCATGTCACTAGTTTGAAGTTGGAGTGCGTCTGCTTGGGCAGCAAGGGAACCAACAGTCTGCAGATACATGAGATGTGTAAAATGGATGTACACATGTCCAGAAGTAGACCAAACAACCAGAACTTTTAGCTGGCGATAACAACCTGTCAACGTGAAGAAGAATAAGAAGCACTCAGATATGATTGCTTCAGTTTGTTCCCTTAGACCATGCAGTGAGAGCCTCTGTACAGATCAGACATCACTCAGATATCATTGCTTCAGTTTGTTCCCTTAGACCATGCAGTGAGAGCCTCTGTACAGATCAGACATCACTCAGATATCATTGCTTCAGTTTGTTCTCTTAGACCATGCAGTGAGAGCCTCTGTACAGATCAGACATCACTCAACAGCAGTATCTGAGAGAGAGAGTGTGTGTGTGTGTCTCTGTACAGATCAGACATCACTCAACAGCAGTATCTGAGAGAGAGTGTGTGTGTGTCTCTGTACAGATCAGACATCACTCAACAGCTGTATCTGAGAGAGAGAGTGTGTGTGTGTCTCTGTACAGATCAGACATCACTCAACAGCTGTATCTGAGAGAGAGAGAGTGTGTGTGTGTGTCTCTGTACAGATCAGACATCACTCAAAAGCAGTATCTGAGAGAGAGAGTGTGTGTATGTCTCTGTACAGATCAGACATCACTCAACAGCAGTATCTGATAGAGAGAGAGAGTGTGTGTATGTCTCTGTACAGATCAAACATCACTCAACAGCAGTATCTGAGAGAGAGTGTGTCTCTGTACAGATCAGACATCACTCAAGAGCAGTATCTGAGAGAGAGAGAGAGAGTGTGTGTGTGTCTCTGTACAGATCAGACATCACTCAACATCAGTATCTGATAGAGAGAGTGTGTGTGTGTCTGTACAGATCAGACATCATTCAACAGCATTATCTGAGAGAGAGTGTGTGTGTGTCTGTACAGATCAGACATCACTCAACATCAGTATCTGATAGAGAGAGCGAAAGTGTGTGTCTGTACAGATCAGACATCACTCAACATCAGTATCTGATAGAGAGAGAGAGAGAGTGTGTGTCTGTACAGATCAGACATCACTCAACAGCAGTATCTGAGAGAGAGAAAGTGTGTGTGTGTGTCTCTGTACAGATCAGACATCACTCAACAGCAGTATCTGAAGGAGAGAAAGTGTGTTTCTGTACAGATCAGACATCACTCAACAGCAGTATCTGAGAGAGAGAGTGTGTGTGTGTCTCTGTACAGATCAGACATCACTCAACAGCAGTATCTGAGAGAGTGTGTGTGTGTCTCTGTACAGATCAGACATCACTCAACAGCAGTATCTGAGAGAGTGAGTGTGTGTGTGTGTCTCTGTACAGATCAGACATCACTCAACGGCAGTATCTGAGAGAGTGTGTGTGTGTCTCTGTACAGATCAGACATCACTCAACAGCAGTATCTGAGAGAGTGTGTGTGTGTCTCTGTACAGATCAGACATCACTCCACAGCAGTATCTGAGAGAGAGTGTGTGTGTATGTCTGTACAGATCAGACATCACTCAACAGCAGTATCTGAGAGAGAGAGAGTGTGTGTGTGTGTGTGTCTCTGTACAGATCAGACATCGCTCAACAGCAGTATCTGAGAGAGAAAGTGTGTGTCTGTACAGATCAGACATCACTCCACAGCAGTATCTAAGAGAGTGTGTGTGTGTCTCTCTCACTCCCCCTTCCTCTCTTCCTTTCTCCCACTCACCTTCTCTCTAACATCCCCCCCCTCCTTTTCTGAGTTATATTTAAGCTATATAAGGTACCCCATACCAGTCAAGCCTCCACAGAGGCTTGTTGTGCCCAGCTTCTCACTGTCCAGTAGACACAGAGGCCTGTTGTGCCCAGCTTCTCACTGTCCAGTAGACACAGAGGCCTGTTGTGCCCAGCTTCTCACTGTCCAGTAGACACAGAGGCTTTCACCTGCACAGTGTACACTCAAATCCTTCTAGTTTTTCCTTATCTGAGAAAGCTAGCTCTGTGATCCACTACCCTGTGGATCAGGAGACAGTATATAGTTGGTGGGTTCATTCATGTTGTAGACTGACACAGCAGTGTTAGTCTACCTGGTCATCGTGTTTTGACAGGTGATTCCATTATGTTGAAGGGGCGCTGGGGATCTTGGGTTGACAGGTGATTCCATTATGTTGAAGGAGGGCTAGGGATCTTGGGTTGACAAGTGATTCCATTATGTTGAAGGAGGGCTAGGGATCTTGGGTTGACAGGTGATTCCATTATGTTGAAGGAGAGCTAGGGATCTTGGGTTGACAAGTGATTCCATTATGTTGAAGGAGGGCTAGGGATCTTGGGTTGACAAGTGATTCCATTATGCTGAAGGAGGACTGGGGATCTTGGGTTGACAAGTGATTCCATTATGCTGAAGGATGGCTGGGGATCTTGGGTTGACAGTGATTCCAATATGCTGAAGGAGGGATAGGGATCTTGGGTTGACAAGTGATTCCATTATGCTGAAGGAGGGCTAGGGTTCTTGGGTTGACAAGTGATTCCATTATGCTGAAGGAGGGCTAGGGAAATGTCTGGTACAGACTGCTATGTTATCATCTGTTACTGACAGTTGTTGATGTTGCTTCCTTGCCTGCTATGTTATCATCTGTTACTGACAGTTGTTGATGTTGCTTCCTTGCCCTCCCCAGGTTCATACAGTGCGCCCACCAGCGGATACACCACATCAGCAATGCAGACTATGACGAGTTTGTCAGCATCGTGTGCAACGCACGCAACGCTTTTTACCTGACGCCCGGCGGCATCGTGCAGTTCAACGAACTACTACAGAGCCTGCGCAGATCCAAGTCCTGTCGCAAAGACTTGTGGCAGCGGATCGTCAACGGTCTGGCCAGCGGAACTCTATGATGCTGGCTCTCTTAGATGCTCCCTTTTTTTTTGCTTCCCTCTCCCCTGCCCCCAGTAATCGTTCTTTTCTAGTATTTATTGGCAACATTTTGTATGTATGACCTTGATCTATTTATCATATGTTAGTATGTATGACCTTGATCTATGTATGTATCATATGTATGACCTTATCTATGTATCATATGTGGAGGGATATGACTTCCTCTCACGTCAGGGCCTCAGTACCCAGCATGCACATTCATCTCACAATTTGTGTTCTTCACGTTTGTGTCCGTTCATTTCCAGTCTTGCAGCATGTGAGTGTTTGTGCAAGAGAACAGCGCACAGTGTTTTTGTCTGTGTCAGTGGCTTTTAAAAAATGAACATATGTGCCATGATTGCTGGTAGGAGTGGAGCAGAAGTGTAGACACCAGGGCAATGTGGGTGTAAGAGTGTCGTGTCAGGACATGTCTTAAATATGAAGTGGGCTTTGTGTGTGTGTGTTTGTGTCACACTTTCTGGCCACCGACACCAAGGAATGTGGGTGTAAAAGTGTCGTGTCAGAACATATCTTAATGGGCTTGTGTGTACGTTGCACATTTTAACCCTGAACACAGGTGTATGTGTCCCTGTTGTATGTCTGTCCTTGTCAGTTTCGCTAGCCATTATCAAGGCACTGTATGGCATAACCTTGAGATGAGACTTTTTTCAAAATGTTGCTTTTAGGAAGATGCAGATGAGGGCACTGGCTGTCTTCCTCTGCTGTTGTCAGCACCTAGGCCCACTTAGACATCTATGTTATCACTCAAGTATGTACAAAACAAATTATCAGTCATCTTTGGGTCAGTCTTTCACTTGCAGTGACATTGTGTTCTAGCAGAGTCAGTGATCTTTAGGTCAGTATTTCACTTGCAGTGACATTGTATTCTAGCAGAGTCAGGGATCTTTAGGTCAGTATTTCACTGTTGGGGCTACATTAGGACTCCTAGTCTGGACACTGTGCTGAGAAAGGGCATGTGGGTTTTGTTAGAGAGAAGTCTTCCCCCCCCCCAAGCTATGTAAAAACTTGCTGTAACATAATGTAGTTATTTATTGATGTTTGTCCTTGACTTCTTCATGTGCCATGATCTCCTCTTGTCTGGGTTTTCTAAGATTTCACAGAATTGTTTCTTTTGGGAATGGTAGTAAAGGTTGTGTGTGGTTGGGGAGTGGCAGTCAGGGTGTGTGTGTGGTTGGGGAGTGGCAGTCAGGGTGTGTGTGGTTGGGGAGTGGCAGTCAGGGTGTGTATGTGGTTGAGGAATGGCAGTCAGGGTGTGTGGGTGGTTAGAAAGTGGCAGTCAGGGAGTGGCAGTCAGGGTGTGTGTGTGGTTGGGAGTGGCAGTCAGGGTGTGTGTGTGGTTGGGGAGTGGCAGTCAGGGTGTGTGTGTGGTTGGGGGAGTGGGAGTCAGGGTGTGTGGGTGGTTGGGGGAGTGGCAGTCAGGGTGTGTGTGTGGTTGGAGAGTGACAGTCGAGGTGTGTGGGTGGTAGGGGAGTGGCAGTCAGGGTGGGTTGGGGGTGTCAGGGTGGTTGGGGGAGTGGCAGTCAGGGTGTGTGTGTGGTTGGGGGAGTGGCAGTCAGGGTGTGTATGTGGTTGGGGGAGTGGCAGTCAGGGTGTGTGTGTGGTTGGGGAGAGTGGCAGTCAGGGTGTGTGGGTGGTAGGGGAGTGGCAGTCAGGGTGTGTGGGTGGTTGGGGAGTGGCAGTCAGGGTGTGTGTGTGGTTGGAGAGTGACAGTGGGGGTGTGTGGGTGGTTGGGGAGTGGCAGTCAGGGTGTATGTGGTTGGGGGAGTGGGTCAGGGTGTGGAGAGTTGGGGCAGCAGTCAGGGTGTGTGTGTGGTTGGGGGAGTGGCAGTCAGGGTGTGTGTGTGATTGGCGAGTGACAGTCGGGGTGTGTGGGTGGTTGGGGAGTGGCAGTCAGGGTGTGTGGTTGACAATTGGCAGTCAAGTTGTGTGTGTGTGGTTGGGGAGTGGCAGTCAGTGTGTGTAAGTGGTTGAGGAGTGGCAGTAAGGGTGTGTGTGCGGTTGGGGAATGGTGGTCAGGGTGTTTGTGTGTGGTTGGGGAGTGGCAGTTAGGGTGTGTGTGTGTTGGGGAGTGGGGAGTGGTCAGTTGTAGTTGGGAGTGGCAGTCAGGGTGTGTGTGTGGTTGGGGAGTGGCAGTCAGGGTGTGTCTGGTTGGGGAGTGGCAGTCAAATTTTGTGTGTGGTTGGGGAGTAGCAGTCAAGTTGTGTGTGTGGTTGGGGAGTAGCAGTCAAGTTGTGTGTGTGGTTGATGATTGAAAGTCAAATTGTGTGTGGTTGGGGAGTGGCAGCAGTTGAGCTGTGTGTGGTTGGGGAGTGGCAGCAGTTGAGCTGTGTGTGGTTGGAGAGTGGCAGCAGTTGAGCTGTGTGTGGTTGGGAAGTGGCAGCAGTTGAGCTGTGTGTGGTTGGGGAGTGGCAGCAGTTGAGTATGTGTTGTGGTTGGAGAGTGGCAGTCAGTATGGATGAGCATGTGTGTTGTTGGGAAGTGGCAGCATGTGTTGTGTATGGTTGAGCTGTGTGTTGTTGTTGATGGGTATAGTGGCAGCAGTTGATGTGTGTGTGGTTGGGGAAGTGGCAGCAAGTTGAGCTGTGTGTGGTTGGGGAGTGGTTGCAGATGAAGCCTGTGTGTGGTTGGGAAGCAGTAGCAGTTAGTGTGTGGTGTTGGAAGCCATAGTATATGTGTTGTTGTATGGATGAAGCCATAGTATATGTGTGGTTGGGGAGGGGATGAAGCAGCAGTATTGAGCTGTGTGTGGCTTCTTTGGTTGGTCAATATTTATGGTTTCAGTTGTAATTTTTTATGTTGTCTGTCAGTGTTGTTTGTGTAGATGTAGAAATATTCTCTGATCATGTTTGTTGTATAGATCTTACCATGGTAAGTTGTCTGTTTGTTGTATAGATCTTACCATGGTATGTTGTCTGTTTGTTGTATGGATCATCCCATGTATTTTTTATAGATTTAGTTGTGGTATGTTGTCCTATTCTTTTGTGTAGATCATACATGTATGTAGTTTTATTTGTTGTATACATTATGCCATAGTCGATTTGTTGTTGTACGGATGAAGCCATAGTATATGTGTTGTTGTATGGATCATGCCATAGTGTGTGGTCCTCCTTTGCTGTGTTGCTCATATTTTTTTTATTGTCCTTTGTTGCGTATGTTGTTTGATGTTGTTGTTTGGGCTGTCTTCAACTTATTGTCTACCTTTCTTTGTTGGTTGTGTTGTTATGTGTTGTCATGTTTTATGTTCATTTTTCAGTGCTGGGACATGTCATTGATCTGAAATTGCATGTTAGGTTTCAACAAGGGCCTTGTTCGGCAGCGAGTTTCTGGTTGGATGTTGTTGAGTCTAGTGAGCTGAGAATTGTCAGTCTATGATGGCCCGTGCAGCTATGAGATGTTAAGGAACAGGCACACATGCTTTGTGGCTGATTACTGATGTGAGCATTTAGGGAAGACAGCTTCAGTGTGACATCATAGGCGTGTAGTGGAGGGAAGACAGCTTCAGTGTGACATCATTGACGTGTAGTGGAGGGAAGACAGCTTCAGTGTGACATCATTGGCGTGTAGTGGAGGGAAGACAGCTTCAGTGTGACATCATTGGCGTGTAGTGGAGGGAAGACAGCTTCAGTGTGACATCATTGGCGTGTAGTGGAGGGAAGACAGCTTCAGTGTGACATCATTGGCGTGTAGTGGAGGGAAGACAGCTTCAGTGTGACATCATTGGCGTGTAGTGGAGGGAAGACAGCTTCAGTGTGACATCATTGGCATGTAGTGGAGGGAAGACAGCTTCAGTGTGACATCATTGGCGTGTAGTGGAGGGAAGACAGCTTCAGTGTGACATCATTGGCGTGTAGTGGAGGGAAGACAGCTTCAGTGTGAAATCATTGGCGTGTAGTGGAGGGAAGACAATCAGTGACATGTCAGCACTGACATCACACCATTAGTCCCATCATGCCATCTCGAACATACCAGCATCATGTCAAGTAGCTGCCCATCATTGACATCATGCAATCACTGCAATCAAGTGAAAGATGGATATCAGCATCACCATGTCACATCAGCTTCATCAAATCACCTGACCTTCAACAACATCATGACATCAGACCACAGCACCAAGTCATCATCAATATCAGTCAAATCAGTGACATGTCATCAGCATCTAGTGTGTGGCATCACTTCCACAGATAAGCAGGGGAATATCCAGTTATCAGCAGCAGGAAGATATTGTCGTCATCAGGAATGTCAGGTTTTCAGGAACATCACCTCATTGTCATTGTCACATCAGGAATGTCAGGTTTTCAGGAACATCACCTCAGTGTCATTGTCACATCAGGAATAGCAGGTTTTCAGGAACATCACCTCATTGTCATTGTCGTCATCAGGAATGTCAGGTTTTCAGGAACATCACCTCATTGTCATATCAGGAATGTCAGGTTTTCAGGAACATCACCTCATTGTCATTGTCACATCAGGAATGTCAGGTTTTCAGGAACATCACCTCATTGTCATTGTCACATCAGGAATGTCAGGTTTTCAGGAACATCACCTCATTGTCATTGTCGTCATCAGATCGTCACCATTAAATATTTATTAGAGTCATCAGATCAGCAGAAATATCAAGCTATCAGTAACAGGAGGTCAGCACCAAATCATCAGTCAAATCAAATCATCACAGCATAAGGCCAACATATCATCAGATCATCACAACATCAAATCATCACAACATGAGATCATCACAACCCGGGATCATCACAACATGGGATCATCACAACATGAGATCATAGCAAAATTAGATCACAAGATCAGACCATCATAACATCACGACAGCATGGTAAATTGCTGTCACAACACCAGGAGAGTAAATACCCCTGATCAGCATTCTGTCTGCTAGTACAAACGCTTCTGTCTGCTAGTACAAACACTTCTGTCTGCTGGTACAAACACTTCTGTCTACTAGTACCTA